AGCATGAACCTCATGTTACTCAATTTACCATCATAATAACTCACAAGAACCGCTCCAATCAATGGCGGTTCTCCAGAACCTCCAACCTACAACCAAGTAGTTGCTACTTCTTCTTCAGTAAAAATCCTGACATGCCCAGCATTATATATCATTATGATTAACAGAATCTAGAAAAATTAATTACATTTTACTATCTTTATTTTGGTCTATCCATTTTTTCATCCGAACGGTAGTTTTTGGCTACAAAGGTACAATTTGGAATTAGGAGTTCATGACCAAACTGAAAGGAAGAGGAAAAAAATTCGAATTTAAAAGGGTGGATATCGATTAGAATAAATCAAAAACAGGTTTGGAGGTTGAAAAACGGCTGTGATAAACCGAGACGAATCATCTCTTTTCACCTTCTTATTCAATTAAGATATCAACATCCAGAGGAACCCGGAATCAGATTGGAAGAACAGTTGATTTATTAGGGTGAATTCAGTAAGTCGCTTAGGCTGCTTAGCTACTTTCCATCACCATGGGAGCATTTGACCGTGATAAAAAAACAATAATCTCTTAAATTCCCATGATCAACCCAACAATTCCGCGTTGAAAGATAATTAATACACCCACAGCAGGGGAAGAAATCATATAACCGATGACCCATCAAAGGCTTCACTATGTTGCTATGTTTGAAATTCAAACATAATAGCACAAAACAATCCCAATTACGAAACAATTCAATCATTATTGAATCCGTCTAACTGTCCTCGATCCAAGAAAATCAAAGGCAGGTCAAAAACGAGTCAACGATCACGTAAAGTATTAATCATGGATGATGGATACGACATCAATTGAAACAAACTAATTCGTAAAATTACACAATAACAATTGAAATTCAACCATAATATCATAAATTTACTGTCCACTAGCATCACAAAACAATCCCAATCATGCAACAATCCAAAACGTTATCGATCCGTTTACCTATACTCGATCCAAGAAAATCAAAAGCAGGTCCTCAATTGATACAAACTAATTCGTTAATTCCACAAACCCTAGTTATTAAGAAAGTAAAAAGACGCATGAGCTTTACCTGTTGCGATTTTCTTGAAAGTTCTTGCTGTCCTTTTGGGTGTGTTAGCCTGTCAAGGTATGGAGCTTCAACGGCTCTATCTGCTCGTATATATATATATATATAGTGGGAGAGCGGACTAGTCAACTGTTGATTGGTCTGTGACAGTCACAAACTAACAATTTCAAAATTATACGATAATGGCGGTTGGCACGGGGTGGGAGGAGTGGGTCAATTTTATTCTAGACAGATTTACATTGAGACTTCCCGCAGAGTAAACATCAGGCACTGGTAAAGTTGTAATTAGAGGTTATAAATGGATGAGTTGCATTGGTTGAGTTTGGTGTAAAATGAATTTAATTTATTTTTAATTTGTTTAAAAAATGGATTATGATAGCTTAGATCATAATTAATTAGGTTAAATTCATTAACATATAAAATAATTAAAACTCTAAATATAAATATATATTAATATCTATAATATAAAATATGACAAGTTTCAATAAATTCGTTCAACTGTCTCAAATAGAGTCATCTAACGATTATCAATATTCTTCTCAAAATTATTCACATTACACCCCACCTTCAGACACGATTTATCCCTATTATCAAATAAAACACACCTTAATACACAAAAAATGCAAACTAATATACCAAAATATGTACATGCACACAATAACACACCAAAACATATAAACACACACTAATACCCAAAAACACACACACACACACTAATATACCAAAACACACGCACATGTTAATGGTCGAGGTGGGATCTAGGTTCGAGGTATGTGTGTGTTTTTTAGTGTATTAATATGTGTATATTTTTTTGGTATATTAATATGTGTATTTAATTTTATTGCTTTTGTTATTTAATAGAAATATAAATACTAAACTCAATGGATATTCATTTGTAATTCATCTTAACTCGTTTAATTAAAATGAGTGTTATTATCCAATCCATTTAGATTCGTGCATTAATTAACATAGGTATTCAACCCGTTTATTTATGGACGAATTAAGCAAATTAGTTAATAATGAATTACGATTATCACTTCTAATTATAATTTACCTTTAGTCATAAGATCAATTCAATTAAACCTAAGAGTCAACGGTCACGATTGAACTCAAAATGTCAAAGTTCTCGATTTGTCCTAAATTCAATCCGACACTGTTGCGCTACCATTACAGTTTAATTTCTGTTCACCAAACTTAAAAAGATGGGCAACAATCTAAATGTTTTTTAAGTATGTGTATTGTGACGTGTTAAAAGTAAATTGGGTAATTAGACGGAGACAGATATGAGTTGTAAATTCATATTATGAGTTTAAAATTTGATAATTCTCTTTTTATTAGATATGAGAGATTTATTTCTCATGAATTCTATAGTTTTTATATGAATGATCTATTTTTTGGTCAGACCATGGATCGATTTTTATCCAAATTAGTTAGATATGCCTTGATATTTTATTTTTTACAAAAATTTCGAATTCGAATCTGTTATCTTATATTTTTCACGGATTCAAATTTGAATATACTTATACCAAATTCGATGATGATCTGATTCAAAATAGGTATATATTTCTACATAACTATTAAAAAAATTAAATGATTATTTGAAGAAATCTAGTTACAATATGTATGTAATTTGTTAGATTTTAGTTAAATTAAGTTATTTGAGTCGGGTCTGACCGAATTTCGAATTTTTAACAACTTTAGATATTGTGGACCATAGAAATAAAATCCGTCAATAACCATATCGAATTTGGATCAAACTTTTAAAATTGGACTAAACAAAATTCGATCAGCTGACTAGACTAACGAATAAGTGGTATCGTATAGCACTTCATATAATGCCAAATCAAAAAAACAAAAAAAAAAAATAAAAAATAATCGATACAATACTAATTAATAGGCATATTGCGTGAGTTATTTGTGTGTCATTTTAATTCAACTTATTTATCATTTGTGCTAGTAACTATCGTTATTTTTAGGTTGGCATCAAAATTTCAAGTTGAGATTGTACATGTCTTACAAACATTTCATACCAAAACTTGAATGCCCTCATGACTCCCTTAAGAGAGAAGGGTTGGATTGGATCACCCCATCATTATCTGGTAACCCATTGGATAACATTAATATGGTTGGTGGAAGTCAATTATTTTGAAAAGTTTATCCACAAAAATAGTTCATTTTATAGACAACTTCTTTGACTTGTGTATAACTATATTAATGATAATTATAGTCAACTTTACTTCTGCATAATCATTATATTTATATATATATATAATTTTCTATATTTTCACTTTATTATTCTAATATAAACATTATGGATAACATAGAGGACTAGTAAGGATTGATTTTCTATTCCTTTTTGCCACACATAAATATGATAGCATTTTTGCGTGGTCTTTTGCGTGCTTTATCTTTATATAATAATAAATATTACACATTTCTTATTACGTTATTGGTCAGATTTTATAATTCAAAGTTGCACATTATCCCTTTTCTGTAACAAAATGGAGGATGAATTTTTTGTATTTTTTTAGATTTTTTTATGGTACTTGTGAAAAGCCATGAGTCAACCAAGTCAAATTCTAATTTACAAACCAAAGGACGATTCAATCGATTCGATTAAAATCAATCTAAAAATTAAAACCACTTTTAATTTTTTGGGTAATGAAAAAAAAAATTTAAATTAATAACTATAGCACATTGAATTGTAAGAACGTCTCATTGGGTTGTAACATTCATGCTACAAAATTGTCCTTTGGTACAACAATATTTTCAGCGATTTTTCAAAGAGAACTTATGAAAAAAAACCTTAATCTTACGCTTGCTACTAGAATAGTCTTATTATTAACTTTTCTTAACGAAGTCTTTTTTTTTGGTATGTAAATTAGGTTCAACAATTCTTTATTTAACAAAAATCAAAACATGGTGTGTGATTCACTTTGTAGAAAATGTTAGATTGGAAGCATTTTTCAAAAAATAATATTATTATGGTAAAATACTCTAATTTTCCTATGATTTTGTTATGTTTGGTTTTATCATATTAATTATAAAATTAATAAATGTTGGGGATGACAATTTGAAAATATAGTGTGAACAAATTCAATTACAAAATCCAAATACTAGATTTTGAAAATTATGTACTAATGCCATCAATAACATAATCTAATACTCAGATTTTCATAATTGAAAAATCAGATTTCTTAGTTGATATATTTTTTTGAGTGAAATAATAAATTTAATCTCACACACCAAAAATAAACAACAATTTGTTGCCATTAACAACAATTCATGTGAGAAGATGCTTTGCCATTAACCAAAATTTTTTCTATTTTCATCGTCTTATGAATCATTTTAATTTGAATTTATATCAATCGAAAAATGAAAGAATAATAAAAATTATTTTGACATCAATTTGATATTTTATTGAATAAATTGGAATAAATATGATCTAATGAACTCAATTTAAGATTTAACAAGTTATAAATATTTTTGTATTAATCTTTAAGTTTTTTAAATATTACTCGCGTTGAACTCGTTAATATATACATTATCCAAAAAAGTAATTGGAAAAAAAAAAAATCCGAAAAGACAAGCAAATAGACACTTCCCAAAAGGTGCTTATTACAAAAATGTAACGCAAGTTACGTACGCCTTTAACAGCAGTTACTCTCTCCCTCTCTCTCTTCACGTGCTCATCATCGACCTATCATGTGATTTCCTCTGCTCTGAGTGCTCTAATCATGACCCCATGTACGGCCCACTCTCTCTCACTCACTCACCTGTAAAACTCTCCTCGGTCAGCTCACTACTTCTCATTGACCCCAAAATCTACTTCTCAGTTTGATTCTCAACACCTAGTTAGGGTTTAATTCAACTGAGAAAGAAAGACTCCCTGGGTGTGTGTACTTCGTCTATGTAGCTTACAAACATGGGGTGTTTTCAGTCCAAAACTGCGAACGTTCAGTCCCCAGACCAAGAACCTTCACAACCGGAGTCTAAACCAGATCCGGGTATCTCTCCATTTCTCCATTTCTTCACTTTTTTATGTACATAAATGCATTCACAAGTCTCTCTGTGTTTGTGTATTTAAGTAGTATTTCTTGATTGATTTGTTGATTTTATGCTCTATTTTGATCTTGGTGTCACTTCAATTCTTCCCTTGTATGCATATATGTACACAGGCACTCATATCTGTCTCCGCCTGTATGTGCGTGTATTGATTTTTCTTTTTTCTGATTTTGATGAAGTTCATTGAATGTTGAAATGTGGGTATGACCTTTTTTTTCATTATATCTATGCATATATGCATTCACATATGTGTGTGGATTCATGTATTTTTTTCTTGATTGATTCGTTGATTGAATGCTCTATTTGATATTGGTATCACTTCATTTCTTCCCTTGTGGCCGTATATGTGTACATTCACATTTGGGTGTGTGTGTTTCTGTGAAGTGATATGCCAATAGGTTCTGTGTTGTCTTTTCATTTTGAAATGCTAATTGAATGTTGGTGATGTTGGTGAAGCTAATGCAGACCAATTGGATCAAGATCAAGTGCCTTCATTCAAGGAATTCAGTCTTACAGACCTGCGAGCTGCAACAAATGGTTTCAGTAGTGAATTGATAGTTTCTGAGAGTGGGGAGAAAGCCCCCAATGTTGTTTACAGAGGGAAGCTTCGAAGCAATCGGCTGGTTGCCATTAAGCGCTTCTCAAAGCAGTCGTGGCCTGACCCACAACAGTTTGTGGTTATTCTTTTTTCCCCTATTGAAATTATTGTCATGGATTACTGTGATGCACGGTTTCATTAGAAACCATTAATGAAAATTATTATAAGGTTAAGATCTACATTTCATGTTTGCAACTTTGGTAATTGCTGCATCCTGCATAAGCATGCTATACATCATGGCACTAACTGCAGCTGGCTTATATTAGACGATACTCAAAAAGTACGAATTAATTGCATTTATGAAGTTGATACGATTCTTCAAAATGTACTACTTATTTACATTCATAAAGTCAGTACAGCTTCCCAAAAGCAAGAGCGAGCCAAATTATCCAAGTCCCTTCCCAATCAGGTCTGCAAATACCTCTTTTTGCTACGATGTCAAACTTATACACCAAAGGACTTTTACCATTACAAGTATTTTATAAAGTGGATATACAGTGAAAATACATAACAATGCATCAACACAAGTACCACATTTCAGTTTCTATGGCACAAAGCTCCCCATCTCTGCTTGCCTTCCACATGAAATGTTCGGAATAAGCAAGACCGCCAGTTGAGAAAAATAATATGTAAGCTCTGCCAAAAATTCATGGACTCTGGGACACACATCAAAGATGGCACACAATTTGAGTCACGCGTATATCCAAGGTGCATGTGCACTAGATGCCATGGTGTATTTAAAGTGTCTACAAATTCCACTCTACCAAATTATTATCTAAGTGTAAGGGCCATTACTGAATAACACACTGTTGTTGGGGCTTGCACCAAATGCCTTTGACCACAATTAGTGATGTGGGGCCCTCACCTATGGTGACCAACACAATCCTTTCAATCTTGGCCATGTTTAGAGGTTTTCACTCAAGGTAAACACCATCCCTGCTTAGGTTTTAACGATTATACATACATATGGCATTTCTTTTTCTTTCCACACCATTTTACCCAACCATTACTGCACTATTCTTATCCGAGTACAATCTCACAGTTCACATCATTCCCAATTGTGCAGACAACAAGAATCAGCCAATTCATGTTCCATTTCAGCATTCTCAATTTGACTCTGCCATGATATATACATGCAATTCCATTTATGGTATGAGAGGGTCCTACAAGCTTAATCAGCTTTTGTCTGCATGTTTGATAACCAAGGCTACATCCTGAATGTAAGATGATTCGCATGCAGCCAGAGTGAAATAATTCATATTCCATCACATGCAGTACATGGTGGGTAGTAGGAAACACAATAGCAACCAAGATTTGTAACACGCACCAAACATAAATCCATGAGCTTCATAACAAGGAGATTATTCCTCCAAACCTCTAAGTGAGAGATGATGAGGTAATTTTCACACTGGTAGCCATATGTGTATTGGATTATGTGTGGTTAATCCTTCTTCTAGTTCAACCTCAAAAAAAAGCAAGAAAAGATGGACTACAGAGATAGAGAGGGACTAGTTGATGCACTATTGTTTCTACTGTGTTCAAATGAGAGAAAGGCACCAACTGGTGCTTATATAGTTATCTATCCTCCTAACTAAACATTCCTCCCCTGGTCTTTTTCTTGAATCAAATGGATCATTCCCATGAAATACGTGACATGCAAGCCTTTGTGAAACTTGCACAAAGATCCCTTAGTTGGTGGGAAGATTTGTAGGTCCGGTTGAGTCGGATGAAGCACTGGACAGTGGGTCTCGACAGACTTGACAACCAGTTGATACAGGATCACTAGAAATGTTGCTGCAGAAGGAACCAGATGGAGGATCAGACAAAATGTCAGTCGGCAGCATCCTGTGCTGCTCAAGATCCGTGGATCCAGATAATGAATTGTATGATTCATATTTAATTTCACTCAACTGGATTTCCAGAACTCTGCTGAAACCTCAAACCAGTAAGTTTCGGATCATAGACCAAACTATTATTGGTCAACCTGAACATGATATCAGAAGTTGTCCAGCCCAAATCCAATTTGCATTGGACGATCTACTGGACAGAGCAATCCGTGTTTCGGTCTACCAACTCCCCTATGGTCTCTACAAGTTTAACTCCAGTGGCTTCTGGATGAAGGCAGGATGGAACCTGCTCAAATTCCGGTCGGCCGGTTTTTCCCTTACTTCTATGTGCCCTCTACAAAATGACCGCCTCAGATTCAGTGTTTGTTGTATGATGTGTTCAAAGACTCTACAAGTGTGTAGGCACATGTCTACCTAAATAATCGTGTCAGAATGATTACTATTAGTACTTTAGAGTAATAAATTCTGTCTTGCCTGTCAGAGTCAGAGCATATTTCACTGTTTTGGCTTGTTGTTGTTGATTGTTTGTTTATATAAATTTCTTGTTGGATAGTTTGGTTAATTTTTCTGTTGATAACCATGTTCATCACTTTTTGCATTGTTACCATTGATTCGATTCATTGAACTGCAAAATTTCAGTTATGTCAGTTGTGCTACTGATTGATTTATTTCGTTGACTTTGTTTTTCCTTTCACATAGTATTTTGCTCTTTCAGGTTGTTGTTTTACGTTATAATAAATGATGTCAATTGCAGGCGGAAGCTGCTGGGGTTGGCAAAGTACGACATAAGAGATTGGTTAATCTGATTGGATGTTGTGCTGAGGGAGATGAGCGTCTATTGGTGGCAGAATACATGCTCAATGATACTCTCTCAAAGCATCTCTTTCATTGTATGATTTCTCCATCTTTCCCATACTCCTAGATTCCTATACCAACTGAAGAGAGTGTTCAGTCCTTGTTGACAATATTCTTCACTATTACTCTTATTTATATATTTCCTATTAAAAGAAAAGAATTATTATCAAGCACCTAACCAATGCTGCTGAAATTCTTATAGTCAGGAGAACATGCACATTAAGCCTTTTAGTTAATGGGACTGTGATGTTGCACACAGAGTACTGATATTCCGTGTTGTGGGGGCCCTTCATTTTCAGGTTGCATTTTTCATAATGATGCATGTACTTCATGATGCGACCTGGCCAGGACCTAGGTGCTATTTATTGTTCCATGTGTGCAACAGATCATGCATTGGTCTATTCAACCTTAGAATTTAAAGAATTAAGGGGTCCGAGTTGATCCCATTAATCATATTTAATCTTAATTGCATAGTAGAATTGCATGTAACTCTAAATTCTAAAACTTGTTCAGGTTTGTAGGTCTAGTTGTATCTCTTAACTCTCCAGTCAAGCTTGGATCTTAAATAATACTTTCTCACCAAGTGTAGGGGTGTTAATCGAGCTGAATTCGAGCCTAATTGTTCGACTATTTACACATAAACGAGCCTAAAAAAATGTTCATGCTTGACTTGTTTACCAGCCCTAACCAAGTGTCCTTGGCTTCCACACTTTTAGTCCTTTATATAGTAAAAAAAATGCTTATTGGGTTCCTCTGTTATTTTTATTGTTGTGGTGTAGGGGATAAACAGCCATTGCCATGGGACATGCGTGTGAGAATTGCTCACCACATAGCTCAAGCTCTCGATCATTGCAATCTCGAGAACCGGAAGATCTATCATGATTTAAATGCGTACAGAGTTCTTTTTGATGAGGTACAAATTTAAATATTTAAAGAGAGTAAATCTGTTTGGAACCTTAGCAGTTTTTTGCTTCAAATTTTCTGAATTTGAATGCATGGGCAATACATGGTGACATGTGTTGCATAACTGTTTTATGTTTTACATACAGTGCTTACTTGTTATATTGATTTGGCAACAGGGCTGAAGCCAGGAATCAAAACTAGGGCCTGAAACAGGAATGGAACAAAATAAAGTATAGGATTCAGTGGGGATTACAATGAAAAGATCTATGTTTCAAGGGGGTCAACTTAATAGAATCTTGAACATTAATCTAAAAATTAATGGGTCCACATGCAATTTTCAAAGCTCGAGTTTGGGGCTCTCGGTCCTAAGTGGCTTCACCACTGATTGGCAAGAAGTGGGAAAGTGAAACTTGTGCTTCTCCACAGAAACATGATGATGTTAACTATCTTATAAATTCTTGAAATGAAATCCTATAGTTAAAATTTTGACCATAATTTTTCCCTTTTATTTGTTTTACAGTAATTTTTTTTGGTGTTGATTGGACTTATCTGGATGTTGCTTAATCTGAGTTGTTCTCATGCCAGGAGGGTGACCCCAGATTATCTAGTTTCGGTCTAATGAAAAACAGTAGAGATGGGAAGAGTTATAGCACCAATCTGGCCTATACTCCACCTGAGTTTCTGCGTACAGGTACATATATTTCACATTTTTTAATGGATCATGCTTCTATGCTCTTGATTATTTTGAGAATTTGAATATGTCTAAGATTGTTTTCATGAAATGATCTATTTGAGTTTTTACGTGGATTTTCTTTTTGTATTACTACTGGAAGCTCAAGAGTACATTTTGTGTAAAATTTTAAATGAGGAAAATAGCCTTGCGTAAGATGTCAGTTCTCTATGGTACACAAGCTCTACTTCCCACATTGGGCAAGTAGGATCTAATGCCCAAAGAATGACCCGAGCATCTGACATATAATTCTGCAATCATGGATTCATCGATGATGGCAATGATCTGTAAATTAGCAAGGGTTTAACTATTAATTTTTCTCTTCACACTTGCATGGATATCAACAAAAATTCCAAAAAGGAGAGTTTTTTTTTTTACTGTTTGGTCAGTTTATGTAATCATATTTGCAGAAAAATGGACACCAAGTAATACAAGTTGTCAACTAAAAAAGGAGAAATTTTTTCTGGAGTCCGATCATACGCAAATTTCTCCCCACTTCAGATTTTTTTTCCCTTATTTTTCCTTCAAATTCTTAAGGCACCCATGTAGTCAGCCACAGTTAACAATTGCTTTACCCTTTGGAACTTCTGGGTTATCTGTATGAAAACTCCACTTCTTAGGTCCAATTTATAGCCTTATGTGAAGTAGCAAAAATGAAGATGTCAGTAAAATAGAATGTAGCAAAACAAGGTGAAACATTGTCTTGGTGTCTGATGCACATTCTGGGTTTACAGTCTTTACAGCAAAGGACAATAATTATTTTCCTCATCATGTGGGTTGTGATGTCTCTGCTATGGTATTTTATGTATTTATTTAAGATGGATATATTATCTTGAGCTCGGAAAAAGTTTTTTGTTCTGCTTATCTCCAGAGAAAATTGCTCATGATAATAAAACTTTGTTCGTGTTTTGTCTATCCTGATAAGTGAGAATCTTGAATGTGATGTAATATTAAGGAACTTGGTGAGCTTTAGCTTCAAATTCTAATAATCATCCTTGAATGCAATTTTAGTGTATGGAAATGGTGGCCACAATGCAAAATAGTACCCCTGAAGATGTTTTACTAGTCTTCCCCTCCCGTGTGATAAATGAGCAGTCTCCGGTAGACCTTCTTCCGTGTAAGCTCTGATTGCAAATTTCTTTTTTCTTTTTGGTCCAGATAGAAGTGGGTTAATGTAGGCTTTGAGTTTTAATGACAGTTAACATGGGAAGTAGAAAGAAGAATAAATAAAAATAAAAGTTGAGCTTTCTCAGTCCTAGCTCAGTAAAACAAGAAGAGTTACACTTCTCGGTCCTGGGAATAGAACCTCACACAAAAATATGTATTGAATCTCATCCGAAGTTGCACCAAGTTGCTACTTGTTTTATCAATTGATTTCCTGCTCATAAGACAGTTCAGGCTGTATTTTTTATCTTAATGTATGCTTTCACCTCATTGATTTGAATGCTTAATTTTTGCAGGCAGGGTCATTGCTGAGAGTGTGATCTATAGTTATGGAACTGTTCTGCTGGACCTTTTGAGTGGAAAGCATATCCCTCCAAGTCATGTACTATACGTTTCTATAAATGCACAAGTCACCGGTTCTTCAATCTATTTAGTCTTGTTTCTTTTATAATACTCTTATTCTGTTTTTTAGTTCTATATTTATGTTGTAAGCTGTCATGGTGAATTTCCACGATATTGCTATTAACTTGCATAGAACTAACATTTTTTTGTATTTATTGCGAATTTGATATGCCTTTTAAGTTTTAATACTTAATTCAGTCGAACTAGGTATATTTGCCGCTTGAGGGCCAAAGAGGTGCCTATGATGAGATGGGCTATGTTCAGGACAATATTTTGGCCTCAAACGGTATTCCGACTAGCGAATCCAAACCTGAATTCATTATATGGTTGAACTGCTCATGATATTAAGGCTCTGAGTTGAATGTGGGCTCCACTAACTTTGATAAAACATGCAATTGATTATGACCAAATCATTGTAGCATCTCTATAACCTGGCTGTGTACTAAATACTGGTTTCTGGGAAAACAGTAGAATGGGACTTATAACCATAGTGTGCAACTATACCCTTTGGATTCTGATGGTCAGGTTTAGTCTTTGGTGCTCTTGGGCCTTAGAATTCTGCCAGTCAAGCTGCCCTTCTCGATCCTAAAGCGTGCGTGTAATGTTGCCTTTAACAAACAAATCCCAGTGTGCAGCTGCATAGTCTTCAGCCCTTCTTTGAGGAAGGAAAGGTGAACTTTGGCCTCATTTTTGACATAATTACACTTGCTTGCCATATTGAGGACTTCACTTATTCTCATGTGGACTCTACAAAATAGAAAATTCGTGCCCAATAAGGTGAAGACTTTGATATGAAGAGAGTAGCTCAGAGCGAGCCAAGAGCCCCATAACTTTGTTCTATAAGAAGTTTTACTATTTAATTGAGAATATGGTTTCGTCAATACTGTATAAGTATCAATATTTTCATGCGCTAGTTTTGATAGACTTCCAAAAGGTCAATATCTATAAATTTGAGTGAGGTGAAATACACAAATCTACAAATATATTTGTGGCATGCCGCAGTTTCAGCAAGTGAAAGCATCATGCAAGGTAATTTACCTCCTGTAAATTGACCCTTAAACATTTAGGCTGTACCTGTGAGATGCTTTCAGTAGATTTAAATGCATTCATATAGAAAATAGCTAGTGAAATATAGGGCCAAGGTTTTAAATTCAATAGCAGTAGGTTTTTGGTGTTTCCTATTATGTAAGGTGACTAGGTGAGTTAGAAACATAAAGGTGGATAGCTTAGGAGCAAATTAGCTTAGTTGAGCAGAAAAATCTTCAATGTTTGATCGGGAGCAAAAGTGCTGATATAGTGATGGGTATGTTGCAGAAATATAACACTACGATTTTGGTCGTTTTTTGAAAAATTGAGATCAAATGGAAAAATGATAGAATTTTTTGACTACATTTAGGTATTGCTAATAGAGATACTAATACATGATTTGGATAGAAGTATTTATTACACCAAATGTACAGTTGATGTTCTGAATCGTTTGATTTTGAATCGTATGAATCGTCTAATATATCCTCTATATGCTATGAATCGTTTGATTTTAATCCTCAATGAGATGCCATCTTGGAAACTCGTGATATTCGGTTTATTGAATGATATTTCCGGATACTAGCAATTTGTTCAGTTGTTCCATCACCAAACTCTATAGAGAAATAGAAAATTAGGTGTTTAATGATGATCAGTTATTGAGTATGACTCGTGCTTGCTTAAACAGGGTTTTGTGTCTGTATGTGTGCATGTGAAATTGTGTCACCTATATCTCTGTTTTTGTCACCCAATGACTAGAGAACAAATGTTAGTAAGAGTGATCAGGGCATTTGAATCTAAGAGGTGGTATTGAAAACCTCAAAACAGCACACTTTTCAATGCCTTGTCTCATAAGGCGTATGCTTTACAAGACCCTTACTGAATTTTCAAAGCCTTATGGAATTTTAGGACTGCCTCACCTTGAAAGGTAAAAATCAACAAAGCATAATATTTTATACCTTGGTTCATAAGGCATGTACTTTATGAGGCCCTTGCCTAGTTTTCAAAGCTTCAAGGAGATGATGAGTCTCAATAAAGCTTTTTTAAACTTCGATTAATATCAAATGTGAAGTTGGTGTGCCTGCCCAGACTTTCTTGAAAGGTAGGGTGAAGTTCAGTGTCATAAAGAAATCTTTTCATATACTCTGAATACATGTTTAACTTGATAAACATTATCCGGCAGGAAAGAAATTGGCAAATATTTTATGCTTAGGCTATCATCCACTGTGGAAATCTTTCCTTCTTTGCACTTATTGTTCAGTATACATGCTATCACTCTGTTCTTTTTTGTTATTTTTTTCGTTTCTTAGTCAAAGAAATGGCGTAGTAGGTGTTGCTTATTGCAACTTGACCCTTTTGTTGTTTTTCCAGGCATTGGATTTGATCAGGGGGAAAAATGTGTTGTTACTGATGGATTCATCCTTGGAAGGACAATATGCAGATGAAGATGCTACTGCATTGGTTGAACTTGCTTCAAAATGCCTCCAATATGAGGCTAGAGATCGACCTGATATCAATTTTCTTCTTACTGCAGTGGCACCCCTTCAAAAGCAGAAAGAGGTGAATCGTTTTCTGAATACTATTACTGAATTGTTTCTCGTCTATTGCAAATCACAATATTGGTGACTTAATACTTTTCTGTGTTGATGCTTTTCCTAAAGTGTTCTCCTCCACATTGCTAGGTTGCATCACTTGTTTTGATGGGTCTGACAAAAACTCCAGTGGTGCTGCCAACCATGCTTTCACCTCTTGGAAAAGCTTGTGCAAGGATGGACCTTACTGCAGTACATGATATTTTGCTTAAAACAGGTTATAAAGATGAAGAGGGTGCAGAAAATGAGGTGAGCCAATTTCTTGCTGTTGTATTACTCCACAGGTTGTAGATGAACTTTACATACTCACCAACCTCGTCTGACAATTTAAATAGCTATTTTAGAAACAAAAGAGATATTATAATGTTAGATCGGACCTAACATACTCATGTCATATTGTCCATACCCATACAAATATATATATGTGGTTTTTTTTTCTTTGCTTGATTGTGGCAATACTGTTGTAACGTTATAATCATCCTTTGATCTCATTGTCTTGTCCTTAATATTTTACTTTCCATGCACTTGTTTATGGTTATGTGATCTTTATGAAGCTGTCGTTCCAAGAATGGACACAACAAGTGCAAGATATGTTGAATACAAAGAAATTTGGGGATATTGCGTTTAGGGACAAGGATTTTAAGAGTTCAATTGACTGCTATTCAAAGGTATGCATTTTTTCTTTTTTTTTGTGGATTTCTGTACTTTCTTTTAAAAGTTTTATTTTTTGTTGTTTTTTTTTTGAACCTTTCCCATCTGTGCTGGGTGTTATTTTTTCCTATTTAAGCTTTGTGCATGTATTTACAACTTAATTAATAGATCCATATTTTACGATTAGCTATATTTAGTGTCAGTCAAAAGTATATTCAGAAGACTGAATGATTTAGGCATGCTTTAGAGCGAAGGATCAAAATTTAGTTTTGGTTAATTGGAAACAAAAACATTTCGGAAACATTTCGAAAATATTTCCAAAACAACAAGAACAAAGAAAAATTTGGAAATTTGCTCATGAGACATTCCAAAGTGTTGGCCGGAAACACGAGACATCGGAACATTCCAAAATATAAGAATTTTGATTTTCCAACATTGATTCGTTTTGAAGTGAATGAAACGAAATTTTGATCCTCGTATAGATGCCTAGGCAATATGTATCAAATGATAAGGTTGTTATGAGATATATATTGAGATAACAAGACCTTTTATTGTCGGGTAGAGGACATATTGGAATGCGATCATATTTCTTTTGGGTGTCAGTATGAGGCATAACTGGTCAGATTTAATTAGTTTAAGACATTTTCTTGATATGAAGTTGTCCCAGCAAGGAGAGATTAGGGTGACTATATGGCACTAGACTTGTTTGCATTCTTGATTTGGCATGGAGCACAGAAGCTCTATCATGTATCATAAGACTGAACTCTATCTTGTTGGAATGCGATCATATTTCTGTTGGTTGTCGGTATCAGGCATAACCGTTCTGATTTAGTTAGTGTTAAGACACTTTCTCGTTATGAAGTTGTCTCAGAAAGGAGAGATTTAGGGTAACTATATGGCAATGGACTTGTCTGTGTTCTTGATTTGGCATAGAGCACAAAAGCTCTATTGTGTATCAAAAGACTGAAATTAGTTCCCTAATAGTCCCCCTTCAGTTGTGTGTTTATAACATTTATCAGAGTAGGGATTCTGAATTGGGTTAACATGGGATGTTCAGAACTGAATTACAGAATGGGATTGGGAAACCTGAAATTCAAAGAAGACGTTACAATCTAACTAGGAATATAAAGTTAAGTCCCTATTTTGCCAGATAAATTTAACAATACAGCCCAAAAGGGACTGCACTTGCTTACAGGTTATAATTTGCATCCCATGTTTTGAGGGGTTATTGTCAGGTATAGGATATTTTCTTATCCAAAATAAAAATTTAAGGTGATTGTGACTGGGCTAGTTCTAAGTTCAGAGGTCTATAAGATACAGCATTGTCATCAGTGGTTGATAAATTGACAAAATATATAATCCTTGTTATTTTCTGTTACTTACACTTGGGTTTAGGTGGGAATACTTCATTCAGGCTGAGAAAATTGTTTCATGCACAAAAAGAGGAAACATCAGTAAAGCTTTTCTGTCTGTTTGGGTGTTTAAAGTTTGCTCGTGAAGCCCATTTGTGGAATTAAAAATTGTTATTTGACATAGACACCCCTTGAATCTACTTGGAAGTTGCGATTATGATGATTCCATTTCGACTTTGTTTACTAGGTATTATGGTATGAGAAAGTCAGCTTTCCAGGAGTCATACATATGCTATGATCAATGCAAGCGATGTAATTGGGGCCTGTATATTCATCTGATTACGTTATATCCAACCCCCAGCGGAATGTCCTTTGTGCAAGTCTTCGAATATAAATGCTTCATGTTGATAACTTTGCTGCTCTATTCCTGACCTTAGCCACATTTCATTAAGAGGAATATCACGAATGACTTTGAAAGGGAAACAACTGGAGTTGCATTTCTTGTTTCTTTCACTTGCCATACTTTCCAGTAGTCCTCTATGACCTTTCTGCTCTTGCTTACTTTTCTCTTTTGAATTTGATAGATTTTTATTCCTTTTTCCTCTTAACTACCCTAAAGATTTATACTCAAACTTTGATTTGATTCATTTTTCCAACACAGTTGGTATCATTGATGTCTGTCCCTTCTGGTACTGTGTTTGTGAGGCGAGCCCTCTCCTACTTGATGATTGGCCAACCAGAGCTTGCATTAAGGGATGCTATGCAGTCTCAGGTGTGCTTGCCTGAGTGGCCTACTGCCTTCTACATGCAGGCTCTTGCCCTCTCCAAACTTGGAATGGAAATAGACGCCCAAGACATGCTTAACGATGGTGCATCCTTTGAAGCGAAGAAGCAGAACAGTTGGCGTAACTGATTTATGATTGGCAAGTAGAAAATCCCAGAACCCTGGTTCTTATAGTTCCGATCAATACAATGCAAATGGCTGAAAGGAGATTCCAACCTGGGCAAATTTGATTGGTAAATTAATTTAGTTTTTGCCCGTCTTGTGCTTGTTTTAGCCATTTCTTCTTATTTCTTATCCATATTGGAATAGTTATATGGCTCGGAAACTAGTCATCGAGTGTATCCATCCGTGCTTTGAGTATGTTCACGAGTCTCCAGTGACTGCTATAGCAAAGAAGAAAGCATCTGTGATTGATGCAGAAGTACATTGCAAGGTAGTATAGTTCAAGCTGTAGTTTTTCTGGAGAGATGATGAATGATCATATGCCAAAGTGATATGTTTCGGGTTTGAGTTTTGAGTCTCTCTCTCTAAAATGTAGATAAAATTGTTTGTCTTGTCTCTCTCCGACCTCGTGATAAACAGAAATCTCTTGCTTCAGGTACAATGTATGTAATGCTCAAAAAAAAAAAAAAGAGGGTACATCGTATGTAGACCAACCATACCGAAGTTTAACAACAACCAGAAGAGAGAGAGAGAGAGAGAGAGAGAGAGAGAGAGAGAGAGAGAGAGAGAGAGATTTGATCAAAAGTGGTGAACCAAAAGCTAATAGGCTCGACAAAAAAGTGAGGCAAAGTGTTAGGCAGAGACCATCCGTGTCTCGTGCTAATGGACACTGACTCTAAGCATAAATCTTTGATAATTGACAATCTAGCAAACATGTTTGACCAGTGGCAGTGTGACAAACATGGTGTGTCGTAGAAGGGGAGAGAGAAGGGGGGGGGGGGGTTTTAAATCATGATACCGAGAAGTTATTTTTGGGTTTGCCCTGAAATTGACTACTTTTTTTAGGGTAAGCTATAGATTTTTTTTTTAAGTTACAACAAATGAACTTTTTGGATTGATCATGATTTTTGTTTTGGGTTCAACAATTAGGGGTGTCCGTGTCAATTTATGCACATTTTGATTAATTTTTTTCCGGTCTCATCAAAAGCAGATTATCAACATTCGAACTAGGGTATTTATAAGAAATAAATTTTTCATAACATTTTATATCTTGACCCAATAAATTAAATGAAAGGAATCCATTTTGTTCATAGCGGTTACATGGAATTTCTACTATTGAACAAGGAACTAAAGTATTAATATCAAAATTCTAATTCCATCATCTAAAAAGTTTTATTGATGATAGACATTGGCATTCCGAGAATGTTGTCTCGTTATAAGTGTCATCGGTTAGAATTATTTGAAATTATTTACATCTTCTGTCCCTCTCCAGACCCTGTAACAACGTAAGTCAGTCCATTGTGTTGCTATTTTTCATCATCTAAGAGATTTTCACTTGGTATTTCAATGGCTTACGGCTTCTTGTAGCTGATTAGAATTACCTTGACTACTAAGTCCAACCTAATTACAACTTGACGAGAGTCTCCAAATCCCACTACAAAGTCCACAAAAGGGTCTATCCATCACCGAAAGAGAAGACACCCCACTTGTAGATAAAAAAAAAAAAGAAGAGAAAGGGTTAATTACATTGTAAGTCCTCAAAATATGAAGTGTCTTATTTTGATATCTAATATTTTAATTATACTATTTTAGTCCTTAAAGTATTAAATATGTTTCTATATAGTCCTTCAAGTAGACAACATTCAAATTACTAACTGTTTTTAATCATAAACTTTTCACGTGATATTTAAATATGGGAAAAAAATTATTTGAGTAGCTTTTGACCAAAAATGTGTAATTTGGGTAGCTCTTAATTAAAATTTCGGAAGTTCATGACAAAAAATATGTAATTTGTGTAGCTCTTTAACCAAAAGTTAGTCAAGAGTTATCTAAATTATTTTTTTATCCATATTTAAGCATCACATAACAAGTTTGTGATAAAAAAATCGTTAGTAATTTGAACGTTCTCTGCTTGAGGGACCATATAGAAATACTAGTTATAACCCGTGCCTGAAGGCACGATAAAATATATAATTTGAGTGCCTAAAAAATTAATCTCATTATATTAAATTTTTTTAACATGTGTATACTATTGTATATGAATAGTGTTTGAAATAAAAATTATATTAACTATAAATTAATTAAATATTAAATTATTAAACATATGATAGAAATGAGTGATGTGATATTTGTAAGAAGGAAATATATAAATGATTAAATATGTGATAAAAATGAGTGATGCAACTTGACATTTGAGTCTGACAGAGGGATGATGAGTAAGGTAAGTGATTAGTAATGTTTTGAGGGAGAAAATATGACTGAGATAAAATTCAAAGTATAAACTCTTTTATTATATAGATATTTAATACTTGAAGGACTAAAATAATGTAATTAAAATATTAAATATCAAAATAAGATAAATTATATACTTTAAGGGTCTCTAGTGCAATTACCTCAAAAAAAAAAAAAAAAAAGCATACAGCCTGCTGACATAATATGGTGGCTGACAGATGATAAGCACTCCACCCCCACCACCTTGACTGATATACCCACAATAAGATATTTCGTTCTGCTTATTGTATACATACATATGATTTGGTGTTTTTAACGTTTAGAGTGTGATAAGCAATAGAAAAGAAAGAAGTTTACGGTGTTCAAAAAAAAATTCAGTATCGTATCACCGTCATAAATTTTATAAGTTCTTTATAATTTTTGATTTTAAAAAGGTGAAGATCGATTGTAAATTATCACAAAAATTATAATTTGACCTAAAAAAATTATAATTCAAACTTTAAAAATTGTAACTTAACTCAAGAAACTATAATTTTTTTTTTTTTTGGTAAACAAACATGAAAATTTGTATATTTTTGGGATTGATTATAAGTTATCACAAAAGTTATAATTTAATCAAAATGGTAGTTTAAGTGGTAACATAGACGAACTGTAAACTCAGACGTTTTGAGTTCAAATCTTGACAACACCTTAACGTTAGGCTATGAGGGATTTTTTCTTCACGAATACCCTAGTGCCGACGTGGGCCACTTTTGATAAGACCAGATAAGGAATTAGTGGTTGAAATATGCTTAATCTGACATGAACACTCATGATTGTTAAACTTAGAAAAATTGTTACTCATAAACAAACCAAAAAATTTATATAACAATTTATAAATTTAAAGATATCGTACCAATTTTTTTTTTAGTATTATAATCTTTTCCTATATATAAAAAAAAAAAAAACACCTTAAAGGTAAAGCCGTGAATGAATTGAATACGAGCAATTGCTTTTCAAGTTCCCTTTCACTTGGAGAGTGAAAGTTGGGGAATCAAAAGTCTAACCTAATCCCACTGATGTCTCAGTCTTAGTTTCTTCTTTTCTAAAATGGCAGCTGATAAGTGATAGCAATGGCATCAACTTTAATGTTTCACATCATGAGCCACCTTTCAACTTCTCCATCACGATATTTGTGAAAATTTCTACATTAGTTTTGTTGTTTTTTTTGTTTTTATTCATATTTATTTTTATGACATGTTGGCTGGCCAATTGCAAGTATCATTTTTTTAAAGATGAGGTCACATTAAATCCAATCCTACTAAGTAAATCTCGTATATTCACTTACTACAAGTATATGTAAAACTCACAGGACACTGGCGAGAATCAAACCTAAAACGCACACCATTAAGATGTTTGTGCGTGTTGATTCATTTTAAATGGCTTTCCTCGACGTCGGTTTTTGTTTATGGATGTTCTGAGTAGTTTTTTTGTTATAGAATGTTTAAATTTGTGTTGACTACTGTCTTGAATTTTGAGTCAATTATTGTAATTCGAGTTAGTTTAAGGACATATCTCCTGGGGAATAAGAGTGACTAAGTTTTAAGAGGTATGACAAGTATCAAACGTGAGACTTCCTATTTAATAGAAGGCAGACTTGACCACTAGATATTCAGAGTAATATGGTACATATATAACCTTGGGAAAGATTGAGGAGGTATCATACCAAAAATCATAATTTTTTTGAGGTGTAAGTTACAACTAAAAAAGACATAATCGATCATGAAAGGTTAGGATCGATACCGATAATTCATGATTAATCATGGGTGTCTGTAATCGATCATGATCTGTCCTTGAACAAATATAACTTATCATTTCGAAGTTATAATTTTTTTTATAAAAAATGGTAATTGGTGATTCAGTATCCAAATATTTTTTTTGTTACCTTAAACTTTTCCTGTTTCCTTTGATAATATCTAAGAACATGTGAATGGTCCCATCCTCTCAACAACCCGTCTGTCACCCTCCATTTTTGGGTTGTTCCTGAATTTTGGGTCAATACCATCCAAAATTATTGCATTCACACGATGAATGTTGTCCATACAAGTGGATGCATTCATGATCAATAAACTTTACTTTACGATTTCATCCACGCAACTCTAACATTAATGTCATAACAATGAATATACGAAATGTATTGTTGTAAATATATTTACCGAGAAAAGTATTGATATTATCACATTTTCAATGAATATGAATATTGGACTAGAGGGTCCATCCGAGTGGGTTGAACCCCTCTGGTGGTGCCCTTGCGTGTCAAGTTTTAAACTCTCTTTTCCATTGTGACTTAAGAGAAAAAATAAGGTGGATATCATGGTCCTAAGCCCTATAAGAAATACTAGTACAAAAAAAACTTGTAAGTTTTCATTAAAACTCTCTCTCTCTCTCTCAATGGTTTGCACGATTACTTTTTAGTTTTGTAAGATAACGAAAGCCAAGCATAAAAGGGGGTCTCCAAGTGCTTAATTAAAGGGTAGTGTGGTTTGGAGTCGAGTTTCACCAATTGACTTTCTCTTTCTTTTTTTTTGGGTTTAATGGTTAGGAATCTTCTGGTCAGTTTCGGTGCACCTCGAATAATTATTTCTCCGATTCGGTCAAACCAAGTCATTCACGCTAGGATTAGGCAGACCATCAATGACCTGTCCCCAAGAAGTTGCCAATATTCGAATTCAGAACGTCTGAATGTACAATTCGTCCCTATTATCTATTGAACTACTGCTTAGAGTTTAGAATACAATTTTTGACAAAAGCTGTGAGAGGTTGCTGAGACCTCTTAATCAAATACTAAACACCATTCCGTGTTTCAATTGATGGGGGAAGTGATTGTTGCTTATGGTACGCGTATAAATAAAGTATTCACAGTATTGTGGGCAATATTGCTTTGAAGTTTAAGTCATACATAATTTCAGGGAGAATATCGTATTTATTTTTATTTTTCGATAGTGTACTGATAAATAAAAAAATCCTAAAAAGTGACAAGTTTCAACCCAAAAAATAATAAATTTTACCTCAAAACAGTGTAAGTGGACCCTAAAGATGTTATCATCGGGCTAGTGGTCCAGTTGCTTGTGGTGCCTTGTTTA